TTTTTAAAAATAAATCAAAACAGATATTGAGTCACTCTTATGATTGTATTACTATTTAGATTTGGAATCTCCCTATTTTGAAAAATGTACTGATTCGTTCACTGTTGGGACCGATCCAGGATTAGCGACAGCAGTTGTTTCGTGGGATGAGCCAGTTCCTATTGACAAGAATGGTATAAATAGGACAGTCCAGAACTATTATCCAAACGATATGTACAATGTTTCGTCTTACACTGTAGTCTATGTGGCATACGATATTTACAATAATAACGCTGTGTGTGAATTTGTCATCACGGTTAAAGGTAAAGTCAAAAGAAAAGGAACACTATCACATGTATTTATTTATTTATTTATTTATGTCTGCTCTATTATTTCCCTCATATTATAATGCAAATTTAAAAACTACAATTACAATTACAATTAAAAAGTTTATACAATTAAAAAAAGAGCTATATCATTTGTGGTCACAGTGGCCTTTTAGGTAACTTAAGATGCGAGGCAGTTTCCTGATATGGGGCATTCATCTTTCTTTCGGCAGTTGCGTGTATTAGATGGTTCTTGTGGTTTGGTGCTTTCTGCTGCTGTGGGAATGGATGATTTTCCCCATGTTGTTAAAAGATTGAAATTATTTTCGTTGAATACCTTGTGAAGCATCCTGCCTACAGGAAAGTGTTTTTTAACCAATTTCAGGGAGGACCTGCAGCCGATGTTGGTTTTCACACGTTTTTTGGATGGAGGGTTGGTTGTACTTCTTCTTTTAGATTAGTGCAAACTTCAATTTTGAAGGCTATAGCACTTTGGTGGTATGTGGTGGTTCGAGTAAGATTAATTTTTTCCAAGGGTCCCTTAAAAACTTCAATAGTTGGTGCTTTGCTAGTAGATTTATGTTCCTAGATGTCCGAGGAAAGAATAACATCTTCTGAGGGAGAAAACACCGTCAATCACTACTGATTGGTTGGGTCCTGCCGCTGAGGAAATTTTTAATCCAATTGTTAGTTTGACCATTGATTCCATACCAACGAAGCTTTTCAACAAGTCTAAGATTATGACATTGTCAAAGGCTTTTGAAAAATCTAATAGGCATACATCTGATTGGTACCCATCTTGCATGTTGGTAACAATGTCATGTATGAATTCCAGAAGCTGAGTTTCACAGGATCTTTTACTGCGAAAACCGTGCTGGAGCCTGTAGAGGATATTGTGACGGCTAGCATGGGTCATTATGTTACTGTAGATAATATGCTCCATGATTTTAGAATCTATGCAGGTAAGACTGATTAGACGGTAGTTTGCAGGATTGTATTTTTGACCTTTTTTTAAAAATTGGGGTGATGTTTGCTTTTTCCAGTCCTGTGGTACACTGCCTCCACGAAGTGACTTCCTAAATATAATGGTTAGATGATTTGCTAGGACATCACTCAATTCCTTAAGAACTCTTGGGCTGATGTTGTCTGGGCCTGAAGCCTTGCTTGGGTCCAGATTTTTAAGTAATTTGAGTGTGCCAGAGGTTGAGACATCTATGTCAGGCATATTTGGAAATTGGTATGGAGATTGGTCATGTTGCACAGTCTTTTTAAGATTTTAAAACTTTATTTCATCTTTAATTTTCCCATGTTTTTTACTAGCTAGCTTTGAATGCCCGATTTCTTCTCTTAATTTTTCTCTTAAGTTCTATGTCTATCCATGTATGTGAATCTCTTGACTTCGTGGTTTTATGGGGGATAAATAGCTGGATACCTTCTCTCAAGCCATCCCTGAAGAGGTTCCATACCTAGTCAACAGTTGAGTTAGACTTAGCATTAGCGATATTTCTGCAAGTTTCTCAGTATGTTGACGGAGTCCTGCCCATCCTGCTTTTTTATATAGAGCTACTCTTCGTGGGATTTGCTTCTTTCGAGTTGGCTTGATTTCCAGTTCGGTATACACAGCATTATGGTCACTGATACGAGGTATAACTTGTGTTCGATTAATTTGGTTAGGTCTGTTAGTTAGGAATAAATCAAGGGTATTATTTAGTCTTGTTGTTTCTTCAACAAATTGTGTCAAGCCATTATCATCTAATATTTCCCCAAACTTGTTGTGGAGTATAATATAAATCATCAAAGGTACATATACAGTGTTTAATAAGGACATGATGGAACATCGTAGTCTACCCTGTAGGGGTTTCTTCTCTAACACTAATGAAATCACTATTAACAGCTACTAGTGCACCACCACCTGTGGAGTTTCTGTCTTTTCTGTACACTCTGTATTGAGAACTGAAGTACTCGGCATCGCCAATATTTTTGTTAAACCATGTTTCGGTTGCAATAATAATATCAGGTTTTTCGATTAGGTTATAGAATGCAGCTTTTTTGTTAATTAATGATTGACAATTTACATTAACAATCCGTAATGGACGGGGCCCACTGGCTGATCTTGGTTTAGGCTTAGTTGGAGAGGAAGCTGCTTTATGATGTCCAAGATCGAGAGATGATTGTGAGCTTAAGCTTAGGTCTCCAAGTACACTATATCTGTTTTCAGACTCCACATCATGGAGGTCAAAAAGAGTACTACTAAAATTTGGTGCGTCGCACTCTAGATGATGTTTCGTTTTTATTGAGGCTAGTTGTTTCCAGGCGCTGGTTTAAACTCATTGTTCTGGAAACAGCTTGGTAAACGGCTGGTAAGTATCGTGTTGTAGATCCAGTGTAATAGTGGGGAATTTAGTAATTTTGATGGATGTTAGTTCCTTTTTTATCTTTTTGCACTGACTTTGTGATGTGCTCTTGATTGCGAGGCCGTCGTCCCGTTATAGACCGATGCTATTTTTGCCAAGTTTTTTTGCAAGGGACGACAGAATGAAAATCTAGACTACTTCACATACTTCCGTCCCGTCGAAACTGCCCATGGTGACGTTGAATGTGTCTTGGAGCTTTCCCTTTTCCATGTAAAATTGCTGTCATAGGATGCAATTACGTACTTGCATGATTATGCTTATTTCTATTTCGTAATGCTGGTAGACTTCTGCATGAGTTTAATAGAGTTGATTAACTGATTTTTTTTATTCGAAGGATAGAATTCCACGATGTCGATTGAAATGAATGTGCTGCTGGCTTTCTGTTTTATGCTTTTAGAGCAATTGATCACTGCTGAAGTGATTTTCCACTGATGTATTTTGGTTTTGGATATCAGATTCCAGTTAACGCGATCAAAGTTGGTTTTGCTTATGCGACCGATTTATGGTTTTGATGGGTTGATTAGTCTGCAGCTCTGTCTGTTTTGAAAGTTTTCTTTATGGTCCTTAAATGTGATGAATGCTTCTTTTTCTGCGATGGTTTCAACACGGTCGTCTATGTTTAGGTTCGTATCTTCAATTATCTACAAGGCCACCGTAACCACAAATGGTGACTTCAAATATTACATTGAAATTAGAGACACATTCAAAACCAGATATACAAACCATAAGCACACATTTAGCTCCTCGAAGCATAAGAACAGAACTGATTTATGAAAACTTGTATGGAAAATTAAAGGAAGCAAAATTACACCAAATCCAACATCAAATGGTCCATAATTGACAAAGCTACGATACAGTGCCGAAACAAAAAGCTGCAATCTCTGCCTTATTGAGATATGTCACATAATTTATTCAAAGAAACCATCAACTCTAAACAAAAGAACAAAGCTGCTTTCAAAATTCAGACACAGAAATAAATTCCTACTCAAGACTATGTAAAAACAATTAACATACACACCTGCTGAACCTCATATATACCTCCATTATCTTCCTATTCACTCACTCCTGAAGATTGTTACTGCATCAAATAGCTGTAAAATAATAATAAAAATAATAATAATAATAATATATACATAAAATAATAATAATTATTATTATTATAACAATAAATAATAATAATAATATATGCTGAGTTTCTCAAACAGCCTGAGGTCTTGCTTTGTGACCGTACTGGTCTGTGTAAACTCATGTACAGCCAAACTTCGGAACAGAAAGTAGTATGAAGACGAATTTAAGAGCAACAAAAATACATTTAATAGAACCAGACATGTTTCTTCGTATTCAATACGACTCCTTCAGTGTAACAAAACAAAAAACAGAATTCAGATATCCTGAGGTTTATATACCTTTGCCTATAGCTTATGCACATTAGAGTCAATTCATTCTAAATAGGTATTTGAATACATAGTAGTGTCGTAACTTGTTGGCACGTTAAAGTTACGTAATTCCAATTCTAGTTTCTCAAACAGTCTAAGGTCAAATGCTTAGTTTAATATCGTAGCTCTAATTTATTCTAAAATAGGTATTTGAATACATAGTAGTGTCGTTATAACTTGCACGTTAGAGTTACGTAATTCTAATTCGACACTAATTCGACACTAACAAATCAGCTGAAATAAAAGCGCATTTGTCTGGTTTAGCACATACATAGGTGAATTCATACAAACCATCACAGAAAGATATCAGGAACATAAGAATACTTAAGGAATTAAAGAAAAATAGGGAAATCGTTATAACAAAACCCGACAAAGGAAACGGAATCATTATTTTAGACCGTTTGTTTGTTTGTTTGTTTATTAGTATTTCTCCACATATACATAAATTAGAAGTATAATTCATATGGAAAAAAAAGTATGTGGATGGTGGTCAAAATAAGTTTGAAAACAAACTTTAAGATATGACCACCATTAAAAATAATTAATAAATCATTATTAATACAATGACAGAAATAAAAATAAAAAATAAATAAATAAATAATATGCAAAATTAAAAATTAAGTTTTAAGTATTAAGTAGTCTGGTTTTTATAAACAAGTAAGAATTAAACATATACAGCCACAAAAAATATGAAAAGAAAAGAAAAGAAAAAAAATATATATATATATATATACATATATATATATTATATTTATTTATATTTTTTTTAATTTTATAATTTTATTAATTAATTTTACTGTTTTTTTTTGTTTTGTTTTTTTTGTTTGTTTTTTTTTGTTTTTTTTTTGTGGCTGTACACCTAATCAATGTAGTCAAGAGAAGAAAGTAATGCTACAAATGTTAAAAATGTGATGCTTAAATTACCGTTCGATGTACAATGCTTGTATAAACAAAATTATAGAAGATCAAACGAAATTCGTTAAAATCAACACTGACCCTACACTCAAACAAGAAGGAAGTTTACAACGTTTTCTTAGGAGTATACATTAAACTGGAGAGCTTGACGCGGAAACTTACAAACGAATTTACCCGAAGGGTTCTATACCTGCAAGAATATATGGTTTACCGAAATTACACAAAGCATTTGGTGATGATGGTTTATCAAATACTAGACCAATCGTCTCGTCCATTGGAACCTACAACTACGAACTAGCCAAATGTTTAAGCGAACTGATACAACCACATATACCAGAGGAATACACCGTTACCGACACGTTTACATTCGTCAAAACCATCAAAGACAGTAAGTTAACAAACAAATTCATGATATCATTTGATGTGGAAAGTTTATTTACAATTATACCATTAGATGAATCGATAGACCTAGCTGTAAATTACATCACTACATATAAACATGAATGCAAATTAAAACCAAAAAATCTCCGAAAAATTCTAGTCACAGCAACATCAGGACATTTTCGTTTTAACAAAGAATGCTATCGAAAGATTGACGGTGTTAGTATGGGATCTCCGTTAGCTCCCATCCTTGCAAACCTATTCATGGGACACAACGAAAAATTGTGGTTAACGGACAAGGACTGCCCAGAATGGATTTATACTTGCGGTACGTCGATGACACATTTTGTTTATTTAACAATCAACTTGAAGCAGAACTTTTCCAGCAATTTCTAAACTCAAGACATACAAATATAAAATTTACTGCTGAAAAGGAACAAAACAACCAGATTAATGTTTTTTGGACGTTTTAGTTAAAAGATTAGAGAATGGAAACACCAAAACTTCAACGATCATGAAGAAAACATTCACTGGACTTATGTTGAGTTATTTTAGTTTTTGTCCGGGAATTTATAAAACCAGAATGATTAGTACTTTGTTAGACAGGATGTATAAAATTAATATTAACTGGTTTGGATTTAATGAAGATGTAAATGTCTTTAAAAATATATTGACAAATTATTAGAAACTACCTTGATAAAAAATACAATAACGTTCAAACCAAAACTAATAGCGATGAAAATGTTATTTCAAGTTACCATTTATTGGAAAAATGTCTAAACACACTAATGAAAAGATAAATACACTATGCAAAAAATATTGTAGCAATTTAACCATCAACATGGTATTTAGCACAACGAAAATAAGTAGTTTTTTTAATAGTAAAGACCCTATTAGTAATGACCTCAAGTCCAACGTTGTATATCAGTTCACATGTGGAGGCTGTAAGGCCTCATACATTGGGGAGACTTCCCGCCATTTTGCAACAAGGATAGAGGAGCATTTACATAGGGATAAAAATTCACATATATACAAACACATCAAAAAATACAGTAATTGCAAAACACAGAGTAACAAAAAGTGCTTTGAAATAATAGATAAAGCAAATACACAGTATCAATTAAAAATCAAAGAATCCCTCCATATTAAATGGAAGAATCACGAACTTAACAGACAAGTTCAAAGTTACGAGATTACACTAAGCATTTGAACTAGAATTAGAATTACTTAACTCTAACGTGCAAGTAACGACACTACTATGTTTTCAAATACCTATTTTAGAATAAATTAGAGCTACGATATTCAACTAAGCATTTGACCTTAGACTGTTTTAGAAACTAGAATTGGAATTACGTAACTTTAACGTGCCAACAAGTTACGACACTACTATGTATTCAAATACCTGTTTAGAATGAATTGACTCTAATGTGCATAAGTTATAGGCAAAGGTAAATAAACCTCAGGATATCTGAATTCGGTTTTTTGTTTTGTTACACTGAAGATGTCGTATTGAATACGAAGAAACATGTCTGGTTCTATTAAATGTATATTTGTTGCTCTTAAATTCGTCTTTATACTATACTTTCTGTTCGGAAGTTTGGCTGTATTGTTCATGAGTTTACACAGACCAGTACGGTCACAAAGCAAGACCTCAGGCTGTTTGAGAAACTCAGCAAGAAGTTGAAAAAAGCTGACGCAGACATAAGTTTTCTCAAAAATTGTAGAACTTTCGGCGTTTTCCCTAAATTTATTACATTTAAATTATTATTATTATATTAATATATTATAATTTTAATATTAAATATTAAAATTATTATATTAATATTATAATAATATATTATTATTATTAATATTATTATTATTGTTATCATTTATTTAATATAGTTAGAAATGTATACATCCCAAGGATAACTATATATTATTGATATATTTTAACCATTTAATAATTTAGTTATAACGTACATAAATTAGGTTGTCCCATATTGGTTAACAGATCTAGAAGCTCCAAATATTACGTGCCCTGACAATATTACCGTCGAAAAGGATCCTGGAAATACAACAGCATTGGTCGACTGGATGGTTCCTGTACCGACAGATAATGTAGAACTTACCAGATCAAGTCCTGTGGCGGATCCTGATAGACAGCCTCCGACTGCGATCGCTATTACTCTGGAATCTCCTCAAACATACACTGCTACAGACACAGCAGGAAACAGTGCTTCATGTACATTTTTTATCACAGTTGAAGGTAGGTATAATATAACCTTTCAAAAGACTGCAATAAAATCATGATTGTTTTTACTCATTATAGTTAGTTTCAGCACAGACACTATTTAATATTCCTATATTCAAATTTATTATGCTTCAAAAGTTAACAATTGTATTTTTAAGATATAGACAAAGAACCTCCTCTAATAGCTAACTGCCCTGTCGATATGAATCTTTCAACAAGTGCTGGCGTAAACTACACTAATGCTACATGGACTGAACCTACAGTGACTGACAATGCGGGGACACCTAACCTAACTTCAACGCATTCAGTCGGCAGCGAATTTTATATTGGCAAAACAGTTGTGATATACACAGCTGTAGACAGCTTTGACAATACTGCCACTTGCAACTTTACAATTTGTGTACAAGGTAAAAAATATAGCTGCTGCAACACAGCTTTAACATTAGTCAAATTGTATTTCATTCGTTTCATTAATCCATTCACCACTTTACCAGATTCACAACATTCGTTTCATTTATCGAAATTATTTCTTTCAATTCATTCATTACATGCACCCCATTTATCTTACATGTCATATTTATCTATTCCCTTTATTTATTCATCTCATTCATTGAATTTATCTCATTCAATTGATTAATCTATTACATTTATTCATTCATATCATTAATTGAATACATCATATATATATATATGTGTGTGTGTGTGGGTGTGTGTGTGTGTGCGTGTGTGTGTGTGTGTGTTATATCTACGGTGGTCATTCAATTGATTAATCTATTACATTTATTCATTCATATCATTCATTGAATACATCTCATTTTTATTCATCGCATTTATCTACTATTTCATTCTTTTCGTTAATTCATCGACATTTGTCTTCTCATTTGTTTTTATATCATTCATAAGACACTTTATTTGCTTCGTTCATTTGATTTATATCGTTTATTTAGATGATTTCGTTAACCTCTTTCATTTTTCTTCTCGTTTACCTTCTTCTTGTTCATTTCTTATACTTTTTATATTTCGTTACCGTGGTTCACTTGGTTTAATTTGTTTTTGTTAATTAACATGTGTTTTATTCACAGATAATGAGCCACCGACATTTGACTGCCAGAAAAGTTTCGAAATAAACACAGCCATTAATTCCAATGCCGCAAATGTCACATGGAATTATCCTACGTATATGGATAATTCATATAGAGACGTTAGTGTTATTGAAAGTCATTCTATACCAACCATATTGGTAATCGGAATCCACGAAGTTACGTACACCTTTACAGATATATACAATAACACAGATTCGTGTTCCTTCAACATAACTGTAATTGGTAGGTAATAGTTAACCATATAATAATAATAATCATAATAATCATGAATAGTAATGCATACAGACCTAAAATATAAAAAATGTTTTTTTTATGCTATAAAGCATAAACCATTCATTAATATTATAGGCATATATGTTGATAATGATGATAATAATAATAATAATAATAATAATGACGACAATGATTATCATGATTATAATAATAATAATAATAATAATAATAATAATAATAACGATGATTATTATGATGATTATAATGACAATAAAAATGACAATAATAATAATAATAATAATAATAATAATAATGACGATGATTATTATGATGATGATCCATTATAAGTATAATAATAATAATAATAATAATAATAATAATAATAATAATAATAATAATAATAATATGATACAGGTGGGTATGTACTTTTTTGTGTAAATTGAATTGCCTATATATGACACTAGGCCATACACCATAGATAATCCAATGAATGGCTAATTGATAGAATATTTACACAATTTAACGCTCGGAATGTTTGTATACTAGCAGTTTATAGTAAAAAGTAGAATGCTGCAAGTATGCAATTCCTGTAAATAGACATATTAGTTGCTAGTATCTTGTTTTAAATACCAGTTGTCCAAGTGCATATAACAGTTTACTAATTTCGGTTTAAATGAAAGTTCTATCCTTAAAATTGGCAAAAGTGTATGATTTGGTGATGATATATAATAGGAATGAATTTTGAATTTTCTTTTACAATGTTACAAAAGAACTTAAAAAATATACCAACAATATAATTAACAAGGAATTTGGAATTTATTTTTAACCAAAGGCTTCATTTTAAATACTTAAATCCTTTTTAAAATAGTGGCTTCTTCTACAACATGCTTCTCAGTTATTTAAATCTGTTTAAATTGCCGTGTACTTTTTTTTATAAATATTTTATGTCTCTAGATGCCCAAAATTAGGAGCTGGTAATTGTAGAGCCGCTACCCATAAAGGGACGAAGAAAACACTTACAATACAGTAGAAAAATATTCTATGTTTTATTTACTATTCTATATTTATGCATAATTTCATATCTCAATATATTTTGCAAAAAAAAAAAAAAATTATACTTGGACGATGTCAAAATGATAAAAAGGAGTCTCAGGAAACCCAAGAGTTTGTACATCCAAAACACCTGCCCTAACGAGATTTACTAATAAATGTAATACATTGAAAGTTAGTTGGGATATTGAATTTATATCTACCTCAGCCTCACCATGGTGGGTCTGAAGTTCATATAATTCATCGACATTTGTCTTCTCATTTTATTGATCTCATTCAATACACTTTATTTGCTTCATCCATTTAATTTATATTGTTTATTTAGATCATTTTGTTCACCTTTCATTTTTCTTCTCGTTTACCTTCTTTTTGTTTATTTCTTATATTTTTTTTTTATTTCGTTACCGTGGTTCACTTTGTTTAATTTGTTCATATCTTCAATCCATTTACCTCGTGTATTTCCATTCAACTCTATCTAAATCATTAAATTTCATCCAGTTTCATTCATTGTAATTCACTTTTTTTCAATCTCTTGTTTTTGTTAATTAATATGTGTTTTATTTACAGATAATGAGCCGCCAACATTTTACTGCCAGGAAAGTTTCAAAGTAAACACAACCATTAATTCCAATGCCACAAATGTCACATGGAATTATCCTACGTATATGGATAATTCATATAGAGACGTTCGTGTTATTGAAAGTCATTCTATACCAACCATATTGGTAATGGGAATCCACGAAGTTACGTACACATTTACAGATATATACAATAACACAGATTCGTGTTCCTTCAACATAACTGTAATTGGTAGGTAATAGTTAACCATATAATAATAATCATAATAATCATGAATAGTCATGCGTATGTACCTAAAATATAAAACATGTTTTATACTATAAATCATAAACCATTCATTAATATTATAGGCATATACGATGATAATAATGATAATGACGCATATAACGACGATGAATATTATGATGATTATAATGATAATAATCATGATAATGATAATAATAATAATTATATATATAACAATAAATAATATACATAATATATATATATATATATCGCCACTGAGGAAGGACTAGTGTTGTCCGAAAGCTCTGGTTCTATTTCTGGCTGTTTTACTTACTTT